CTCCTGAATATCTGGGATTACAGGTGCACACCACCAGGCCCAGCTAATTTTTTGTATTTTTAGTAGAGATAGGGTTTCACCAAGTTGGCCAAGCTGGCCTTGAACTCCTGACCTAATATGATCCACCCACCTTGGCCTCCCAAAGTGCTGGGATTACAGGCATGATCCACTGCACGCAGCCTTCCTGAATATTTTTGATACACAGTTGGTTGAATCCACAGATGCAGAACCCATGGATATGAAGGGCCGACTGTATGTTCACACTGTAAAACCATCACTACTATCCATCTCCAGACTTTTCATCTTGCAAAACTGAAACACTGTACCTATTAAATATTAACACCCCATCCCCACTTCCTCCCAGTCTCTGCAAACCACTGTTCTACTTTCTGTCTCTGTGAATTTTGCTCTAGGTACCTCATATAAGTGGAATCATACAGTATTTGTCTTTTTGTGACTGGCTTATTTCACTTAGTATAATGTCCTTAAGAGTGATCCATGTTGTAATAAGTAAGAAATTCCTTGATTTGTGATTTTTTTTTTTTTTACTTTTGCAGGTGTTTCAGGTTTCTTGTAAAGAGCATTGATTACCTAGATGAAATTCTCCCCAAATTTCTGTTTTGTTAGGGAATAAAAGGTGAGCTTCCTCAAAAGCTTTAAAAGGGTATATACCTAAAGTAATGTAGTTCATCCTACCATAAAGACACAGGTATGCAAATGTTTACCGCAGCACTATCGACAATAGCAAAGACCTATTTTTTGGAATCAACCTAAAAGCCCATCAATGGTAGATGGGATAATGAATATGTGGTACACATACAGCATGGAATACTACACAGCCATAAAAAGAATGACATTATGTCCTTTGCCACAACATGGATGGATCTGGAGACCATTATCCTAAGCAAACTAATGCAGGAACAGAAAACCAAATACAATATGTTCTCACTTAAAAGTGGGAGCTAAACAACGAGAATGCATGGACACAAAGAGAGAAATAACAGACACAAGCCTACTTGAGGGTAGAGGGTAGGAGGACGGAGAGGATCAGAAAAAAAAAATACCTGTTGGGTACTATGCTTATTATCTGGGTGACTAAATAATCTGTATACCAAACAAACCCCTGTGGTATGCGGTTTACATGACAATCCTGTACCTGTACCCCTAAACCTGAAATAAAAAAATTTTTAAAAAGCTCTAAAAATGTCTAGTACACAACAGTGCTTATTATAGCATCATACACAAAAGCCAAAAGGAGAAAGCATCCCAGGTATCCATCAATGGATGAACAGATAAACAAAATGTGATCTATTCAGCCTTAAACGGAAGGAAATTCTGACACATGCTAGAACATGGATGAACCTTAAGGACATTATGTTAAGTGGTGATGGTTGCATAACAATATGGATGTATTTAATCGCACTGAATTATACAAGGTTTCCCTCTATTGTTCTGGCTGGAGAGCAGTGGTGTTCAATTTTAGCTCACGCAGCCTTGATCACCTGGGTTTAGGTGATCCTCCCACCTCAGCCTCCCAGGTAGCTGGGACTACAGGCATGCACCACCACGCCTGCCTAATTTTTCATATTTTTAGAGAGACAGGGTTTTGCTATGTTGCCCAGGCTGGGCTCAAGCAATTTGCCTGCCTTGGCCTCCCAAAGTGTTGGGATTACAGGGGTGAGCCAATGTGCTTGGCCTATTTTACCACAGTTTAATAATAATAAAAAAATCTTAATCCCAGCACTTTGGGAGGCCGAGGCAGACAGATTACTTGAGACCAGAAGTTTGAGACAAGCCTGGCCAACCTGGCAAAACCCTGTCTCTACTAAAAAATACAAAAATTAGCCGGATGTGGTGGTGGCCCATGCCTGTAATCCCAGCTACTCAGGAGGCTGAGGCACAAGAATCACTGGAACCTGGGAGGCAGAGGCTGCAGTGAGCCAAGATCGTGCCACTGCACTCCAGCCTGGGCGACAGACCTAGACTCTGTCTCAAAAACAAAAACAAAACTGTATACACACATACACACAACCTATTTTTGATTACATTACTTTAGCTCTCCATAGAAATGACTTCACAAAACAATGCGATACAATATTTTTGTCTTTTTAACAAGATCAGTAAGATAGTGATTTGAAGACAATTTTGGCTGGGTGCAGTGGCTCACGCCTGTGATCCCAGCATTTTGGGAGGCTGAGGCAGGTAGATCGCTTGAGGTCAGGAGTTCAAAACCAGCCTGGCCAACATGGTGAAACCCTGCCTCTACTAAAAATATTTTTAAAAAATTAGTCAGGCGTGGTGGTGGGCACCTGTAATCCCAGCTACTTGGGAGGCTGAGGCAAGAGAATTGCTTGAACCCAGGATGTGGAGGTTGCAGTGAGCCAAGATCATGCCACTGCACTCCAGCCTGGGCAACAAGAGCAAAACTCTGTCTCAAATAAATAAATAAAAGACAATTTATGCATCTTATGTTTATGAGAGTCACTTAATTCAATTTATGGCTATTGGTGACAATGTATGTTGTACTGTTAAATGTCCAAGTGATATATTCTCCCTTGACTTTGGTTCTAGGTAAGTTTGCTTTCATGGTGAATTGCTGCCTGCTTTCTTTATAACAAGAACTCTACTTACTTTTCTGCTTTGACTGGCAGGAGCTGAGACAACTTTTATGCTGAATTGTAAGGATTAGCTGGTCAAACCTTGGAGAATCATTAACCATCATTAAATAAATAAATTCCTGTTCCTATTCACTTTTGAACACCTTGAGTGAAGTGGCTTGGTTGGATTATAGTGTCTGAAATTGACACTGCTGGCCTTTGTGACTTTGGACCATGTTTTTCTGTCCAAAATGCCTTAACAGCGTGACTCTTTCTCTTGCTGTGCCCCATTTCTAGAAAATGATTTCCTGTATCTTTGAAGTTTCTTCAAGGTCTTTGCAAATGCATTTTATGTACGCCACATTGCTTGGGCTTTAAATTAGATCATCTCAATTATATCTTTCAAATTTGGTTTTAAAATATTCTTCCATATGTTCTCTACTGGTGTAGTATTAGATAAAACCAAAACCAAAATTTTGTTTTATTGATGTAGGTAATGCTCTCTAGTTAAACACTGTAGCCCTGGTCCCTCAGTCACTAGGTTCCACATTTTGGCACTATTTTTTTAAAAAAAGCTCTTAGTTTCTTCCCTTGAATATCCAATCAGGTGTCAAATTCTTTTTTTTTTTTTTTGAGACGGAGTTTCACTCTTGTTGCCCAGGCTAGAGTGCAATGGCGCGATCTCGGCTCACCGCAACCTCCGCCTCCTGGGTTCAGGTAATTCTCCTGCCTCAGCCTCCCGAGTAGCTGGGATTACAGGAATGTGCCACCATGCCCAGCTGATTTTTTGTATTTTTAGTGGAGACGGGGTTTCACCATGTTGACCAGGATGGTCTCGATCTCTTGACCTCGTGATCCACCCGCCTTGGCCTCCCAAAGTGCTGGGATTACAGGTGTGAGCCCCCGCGCCCGGCTGGTGTCAAATTCTATAGTTTTTATTTTTAAAATTATTTTTAGATGTGATCATTCCTTTCTAACCTCAATGTCATATTCTCCCATCTTTCTTCTTCAGATCTTTGTAATTACCCCACTACCTGGATTATTGCAATCTCCTTCCAACAGGATTCCCTCTCACACCTATCCTCTGGACAGTCAGTTCTCTATGCTGTTGTCAGATCCATCTTACCAAAGCATAACTCCTTTGTCTTCACTCTTGGAATTTATAGAGGACTTCCGCAATGTGCCTCAAGCCAAGGGTCTGGTCTAATTACCATTATTCCTCTTGGCGTAGCCTAGCCAAACGGAACCACTCACTGTACCTGCAACATGCTCTGCATTTTCTCATCTTAATGCTTTGGTTCATATTGTTAGGTCTTAGTGGAAAGTGCTTCTACCCATCACAACCTCAATCTCTGCCAGTCAAGAAATACTACCCATCTTTGATATACAGCCTCCATAATTAAACTTTTCTTGATTCTTTCCAAAGATCTGCTCTCTCCTAGTTTTAACCTTCCCCCTGCCTTTTATATCCGGACATCTCTTGTGGCAACAAACATATTCTTCATATTAAACTTATTTATGTACGTATGTCTCTTACATAAGCTCGTAAGATAATGAACCATAGCTCTTTATCTACTTACCTTTATGTTACTTTATGTTTTCTGCTGAGATCAATGTACTGAATTCCAAAGGTACTCAAAAGTATTTAGTTAATTGAAATTGGCATAAATCCAATGCTGACAACATATCCCAAGGAAAAAACTCAAAGGGAGTTTTTATAAAGAGCACTATTTGCATAAAAATTTTGCTCAGAACAGCAACATAAACAATTAAAAAAATTCAACAATAAGGGAGTAGTTAGAGAAATTAAGGTAGGGCCCAAATCAAATTCTCCTGGACCTGGCCCATAGGAAGTATTTAATATTTATTAAATGAATGGTATACCACTGTGTTGCAATATTATTTAAACAGGTGCATGTGAAATCAGGTTAAGGGAAAAATAACTTTCACAAAACATAGGAATTACATCTATAGAAAACCTCTGAGGCTGGACTTGGTGGCTCAGGTCTGTAGTCCCAGCACTTTGGGAGGCAGGGGCGGGAGGATCGCTTGAACCCAGGAGTTCCGAGGCCAGCCTGGGCAACACAGTGAGACCCCAGTCTCTACAAAAACTATATTTTAAAAATTAGCTGGTGGTGCGCGCCTGTAGTCCCAGCTACTCGAGGCCACCATTCCTGCCTGGGGGACTAGGTGAGACCCTGTCTGCGAAGTGAAGGAAAGGGGAAGGGGAGCGGAGAGGAGAAGGGGAGGGGAAAGGGGAAGGGGAGGGGAAAGGGGAAAGGGAGGAAAAGAAAACCTATGGAGGCACCTTAATAATCAGAAGGGGCCAGAGGAAGCCACCTGACACATTTGTGAGAAAATTTAAAAGGTGTCCTCATACGTTCTCACTTTGATACTACTCACAACAACACTGCAAAGTGCGCACGGAAGGTGTTAACTCCGTTTTACAGGTAAGGAGATCGACCCACTGAGGTCAGGAGTGACTGACCAAGGCGGAGCCAGGACTGTAGCCCCCGCCTCCCGGCCACCGGTCCGGGTCTCCTTCCCCGCCACCACTCGGCCACCGTCATTGGTGTCGAGAGTTTTGGTTCCCTTTTCTTTGATCGTAGCTATTTTTTTTTTTTTTTTTTTTTTTTTTGGTGCCGTGACTCGGTTACAAGATCGTAGTACCTCTGCAAAACGAACCCAGACACTTGCGAGGCCGGAGAGGGGCAGGTGCCGGGAGGCGGCTGACGGGCGCAGCACGCTAGGCCCAGTGTCGGACTCCGGCTCCGCATCCGGCTCCGGCCCCGCATCCGGCTCTGGCCCGGCGACAACAGAGTCCGGAAGTGCAGGCAAAGAGGCTCCCCCCGGGAGCGCAGCGCGGTCCCGCCGGGGACCAGCAAGGGCCGCGCCCCGGCGGGCAGGCGGCATGGCTGCAGTGCTGGCTCTCAGGGTGGTTGCGGGGTTGGCGGCAGCTGCGCTAGTGGCCATGCTTTTGGAGCATTACGGCCTGGCGGGTCAGCCCTCGCCGCTGCCCGGCCCCGCGCACCCGAGAAGGCCGCACCCGGCGCCAGGTCCCGGAGACACCAACATCTTCTGGGGCCTGCAGGTGACGCGGCTGGAAGCTGGGCGAGGGGCGGGTGCAGAGCAGGCTACTTGCCGTGAGACCCTGGCGGGTGTTGGGCCCCACTCTGCAGGCTGGGGGCTTCAGTCAGGTTGTAACTCGAGGCTCTGTCTAGTGCTGGCCCTGTCCTTCCCTGGGGTTTCGTTATGCACTGCCTCTTTGGCTTTTCCTTCTGCCTGAGAGAGCCGCTGGGCTGCTCCTCCCATGCTGACTCAGATCTCTCTGTTCAATACCTGTTTTCGGCAGATATCCGACATTCACCTGAGCAGGTTTCGAGATCCAGGCAGAGCGGTAGACTTAGAGAAGTTCTGTTCTGAAACTATTGACATCATTCAACCAGCTCTCGTCCTAGCAACAGGTAGGGAGGCTTGCCGTGCTGTGGTGGTGTTCTGTGGTCTGGATGGTAGAATGCTAGCCAGGGCTGTGGCTTTTCACTTTGGGGACGTTGGGAACACTATAGCCACAGCCTCAGATGAGCCCTGTGAGGTGGAAGAGGTTGAAGATTATAATTCCCTTCGCCTATGGATAACTGAATGAGTCAAGATCTAGGCACAATGATTTGTCGTAGCAAGGTTTTGTCAAAGCAGTAGAAGCAAGGCTCCTGGTTCTCGTATCAGTCTGTTGTCTGATATATTTGTATCTGTTTGTTGTTGTTATAATTCTGGTTGTGAGAATTAGGGGAAAGCCTGTAACCACGAATCAGAAGTTTTCTTCTTTTGCTAACTTTTCGATTTTCTTTATATTATTAATCTTATGTTTTCATTTGTTTGAGGCTTCTGGTGACTCCAGGGCACTTTTTCTTCATCCTTTGATAGTTTTATGACTTGAGTTTTCTAGATTCTTCAAACCCTTTATTTGCTCCCAAGCTGTAGTAGGGAAAAGAAGCTAAAGGAGCATCTATCTTGCTTACTGGGGGGTTCATCACCCATCCACCTTACTGAAGCATCTCTGCTGACATGAAAGTGTATCATTTAATGAATGAGCCCCCCTAAAAAGTGTTCCGTTTAATTCCCTATATATTTGGTATTTTGTTGTCCAGTTGCACCTGCCACATTGCTTCTTGCTGTAAAAATAATACTTGGTCAAATCTCATATTCTGATTTTGTGGTTTGGAAAATATGGTTGCCATGGATTTTAGGAACCCACCAAGGGTATTGGAATTTCTTAAAAAACATTTTCATTTTATGATATTCTATTAATGCATCTTGTACTGTTCTCTTTAAAGATTTTTTAGACGCTGGTCCGAATGCAGTGGTGTTTACAACTAATTGATCACAACCAGTTACAGATTTCTTTGTTCCTTCTCCACTCCCACTGCTTCACTTGACTAGCCTAAAAAAAAAAAAAAAGATTTTTTTAGACAACCCATTTCTAATATCACAGGAGGTTAAACAGGCATTCGCTAACCTATAAGAAACAAATCCCTTGCTGAGAAAATCTTGTTAGTTTAGATGGCTTGCTTTGGACATTAGTGGTCTCATGAGCAGTTAGCTTATACATGTTGAGTACTTTAAGTATTGTTGTTCCTTTGGTGTACATAACTAAAAAAAATTGAACCCCCAGGAGTTTATTTTGCATTGTGATTCAGTTCTTGTGTAAACCTACAGGAGACCTGACAGATGCCAAAACAAAGGAACAACTGGGATCCAGGCAGCATGAAGTAGAATGGCAAACCTACCAGGGTATTCTGAAGAAGACAAGAGTCATGGAAAAAACCAAGTGGTTGGATATAAAAGGAAATCATGGTAAGAGTTAAAAGCCAGATATAATAAAGACTAGATTTTTTTCCCCCTTCAGGAACCTGGATTTTCCAGTTTAGATTGTAAAATTATAAAACGGGACATTGTAACATAGGTTTACATATAATAAAGGTCACAACTCTGAAATACAAGTATATAATGTGGTTTTAAAATGTCAGATGTCATTGTTAGCCTTTGAGATGACAATTAGTATGGTCCTTTTTTTGTGTGACATATGTTGCTTCTTTTTTTTTTTTTTTTTTTTTTTTTTTTTTTTTTTTTTTTTTTAGTCTTAGTTTCTCTCTTGTTACCCAGGCTGGAGTGCAATGGCGTGATCTCGGCTCACCGCAACCTCTGCCTCCTGGGTTCAGGCAATTCTCCTGCCTCAACCTCCTCAGTAGCTGGGATTACAGGCATGCGCCACCATGCCCAGCTAATGTTTTTGTATTTTTTTTAGTAGAGACGGGGTTTCACCATGTTGACCAGGATGGTCTCGATCTCTTGACCTTGTGATCCACCCGCCTCGGCCTCCCAAAGTGCTGGGATTACAGGCTTGAGCCACCGCGCCCGGCATATGTTGCTTCTTATTTAAAAAAAAGTATTATTATACTTTAAGTTCTGTGATACATGTGCAGAATGTGCAGGTTTGTTACATAGGTATACATGTGCCATGGTGGTTTCTTGCACACATCAACCGATCATCTATGTTAGGTATTTCTCCTAATGCTATCCCTCCCCTTGCTTCCCACCCCCTGGTCACTTCTTCTTTACACGGAAGAAACATGAGTTTTAGCAAAACTCATACAGATAGATATTTTTAAAAATATACATTTTATTAAGTGAAAGAAGCCAAACCCCCTCAGTCTGCATACTGTATGGTTTCATTTATATGACATTCAGGAAAAGGTAGAACAATAGAGAACAGATTGTAGTTGCCAGAGGATAGGGATTGGGAGAGATACTGACTGCAAAGAGGCATCATGAAGGGTTTTTGGTGGTGATGGAATTAGTCTGTATTTTGATTGTGGTGGTAGACTTCAGGTTCCCTATATATTTGTCAAAATCCATAGAACTGTAAGTCACAAAGAATGAATTTTACTGTGTGCAAATCTTAAAAATTTTTATTTTTTCTTTTTAAAATTTATTATTCTTATTATTATTTTGTGAGATGAAGTCTCTGTCGCCCAGGCTGGAGTGCAGTAATGCGATCTTGGCTCACTGCAACCTCTGTCTCCTGGGTTCAAGCAATTTTCCTGCCTCAGCTTCCTGTGTAGCTGGTATTACAGGCATGCATCACCATGCCCTGCTAGTGTTTTGTTTTGTTTTTGTATTTTTAGTAGAGACAAGATTTCACCATGTTGGCCAGGCTGGTCTCAAACTCCTGACCTCAAATTATCTGCCCGCCTCAGCCTCCTAAAGTGCTGGGATTATAGGCGTGAGCCACCATGCCTGGCTTATTATTTTTTTAAGATAGGATCTTGCGCCATCATTTGGCCTGGAGTGCAGTGGTGTTAGCATACCTCTCCGCAGCCTTGGCCAAAGCTTAAATGATCCTCCACCTCAGCCCCCCAAGTAGCTGGGACTACAAGTGTGCATCACTGTACCTGGCTAATTTTTCAAGTTTTTTTGTGAAATTGGGGTCTTGCTATGTTGCTCAGGCTGATCTTGAACTCTTGGCCTCAAGTGATCCTCCCACCTTGTTCTCCCAAAGTGCTGGGATTACAGGTGTAAGTCACTGCACCTAGCCTAAATATTTTAAATTGAAAACAAATCTTCACAGACATGAACAGGAAAATAGATAATCCTTTCCCTTTTTAAAATTATTGTTGTGTTGGTAAGGAAATGAACTCTTCTCCAGAAGAGTCCTGATGATAGTAGATTTGTTTGATTTATAAAGGTTGACTTTTTTATTAGATAAGTACTACATTTGTCTACTTTATTTGATCAGTAGATCAGGCATGAATCCACTTCTTGCTGGCTTTTAGAACCACAGGATTAAAACAAGAGCAACTACAGTTTAATCTTATAATTTCAAATTGATATTCTGAATGGTATAGAATTCAAAGTACCTGTTTTTCTCTAGTGTACTAGGTGCCTTAAATAAGTTTCTAGATAATGTGAATTTTGTTAAGTTATCAAAATTTTAAAGTAGCAATCTAATTGGTAGGGATTCTACCACTAAAAGTGTTATAGAGGCCAGGCACGGCAGCCACGGCTGTAATCCCAGCACTTTGGGAGAGCAAGTTGGGCAGATCATTTGAGATCAGGAATTCGAGACCAGCCTGGCCAGTGTGGTGAAACCCCACCTCTGCTGAAAATACAAAAATTAGCTAGGCATGGTGGCACACACCTATAGTCCCAGCTACTCAGGAGGCTGAGGCAGGAGAATTGCTTGGACCCGGGAGGCGGAGGTTGCAGTGAGCCGAGATCGTGCCACTGCACTCCAGCCTGGTGACAGAGTGAGACTCTGTCTCAAGAAACAAAAAAGTGTTATAGAAAGATGACAGAGGCTGCCCCAGTCACACCATGGCTAGGTAAGTCTGTGTCAGCAGAGGCAGAGAGCTTGGGGAGGGACTGTTGTCCCTGCTGGAGCCTCAGTCAAAACTGAACATCCCACTGTTCCAACCCTTCCACAGATGTACATCAGGCTGTATTTAGGCTT